ATCCATCCATCCATCCATCCATCCATCCACCCATCCACCCACCCATCCACCCACCCATCTATCCATCCATCCATCCATCCATCCATCCATCCATCCATCCATCCATCCATCTGTAGCTTCCCATGGGCACACAGGCATCCCATGACCCGCAGTCATAGCCTCCCACTGCCCCATCCAGTGTGCAGTCCCATGGCCCTCACGGTGAGCAGAGACCACCCTGCTCTTACCACTTCCACGACCATCTCCTGGCGCAAGAACCTGCGGAGCGGGGCCTGGAGCTGTGGGAACAAGGAGGCTCATGAGCAGGGAGCTCCAGGGGGGACCCTTGTGGGATTCATCCCTGCCCCTCTGGCCCCTCAGCTCAGAACTGGCACCCCAGCCCCTTCCCAAACCCCCAGGAGCCCACCAAGGCCAAGTGATGACGGGGAAAGCAGGACCCGGAGGAGAAAACAACTGGCCCAGCCTGGGGTGACCCAGAAAGAGCAGAAATGGTTGCATTTTAGGAAGAAGGAAAGATCGACCCTCTGTAAGACCCCGGTACGTACGTCCTCCATCCCTTCGATGTGGGACTCGATCTCCTGCACGATCCGGGCGTTCCTCTCCACCTCCTCTGCGCTCTTCATGCCCTTGTTGATCCTCTCGGCCACTTGCTTGATGTTGCGCTGGGCGTCGATGAGGAAAGGGTGGTCAGGGTGGTCCTCTGGCGTGTGCTTCAGCAGGTCCTATCATGGGGACACAGCCGGGATGTCACCACAGGCAAAGCCTGGGCATCGACGATGCCATGACACCCCCAAGCAAAAGCCCCTACTGCGTTGCTCTGGCTGCTGGGGATGGAAACCAGCCCCATGCAGGAAAGGTTTTGCAAAGAAATGAAGCCTTGAGCTTTGGCCACCACCAGCCTGGTCTTTGCCACCTCTAAAGATGCCACCAGCTCCTGAAAGCACACCATCACCTTGCATGGACACCCGAAATTCATCACTGGAAGCGTTCAAGGCGAGTTTGGATGGAGCTTTGAGCAACCTGATCTAGTGGAAGATGTCCCTGCCCATGGCAAGGGGTTGGACTAGATGAGTTTTGAAGGTCCCTTCCAACCCAAACCATTCTGTGATTCTATGAAAGCACATCCCCACCAGCCTCAGTGCCAGGGAGAGTGACTCGAGCATGGGGAAACTGAGGCACGGAGGGGGTGGCAGGGTGACTGGTCCCAAAATGGTGCTGCAATGTCGAACCTCCCAGCAGAAAGGGGACTGCACACCTGTAGGGACATGCTGGGGGGGACAGTGGGGTGACAGTCCTCAGGGTGACCATCCCCAGGAGGGCAGAGCTGTACATATGCCCGGGGACACCAACTTTGTGTCAAGGGATGGGAAAAGGGGCCAGGAGAGACATGAGACCCCTAAAAGCTCCTGTTACGTGGAGGTGAGGAGGAGCCATGGTCTCACCTGCTCCCAGCACGACACAGACGCCCTTCTGCCTGCACCCACCTTCACCAGCAGCTCGTATCGTGGGATCCTCTGCACCGGCTTGATCATCAGGTCGGACAGAGCCTGCTTCTCCTTGTTCTCCCGCATGCTTTGCTGCAAAACACCGGTGGGGGACAAGGACGGGCCCGTTAGGGGGGACACAGCAGGCACCCAGCGTGCCACCAGCCCAGGACCTGGAGCAACACCCGTTTGGAGTCAGGGTGCCTCCTTTTTACACCATCCGGAGTGACTCCAGTTCATCCCGACTTGGCCTCTTTGCAACAAAAACAAGAAGAAGGTGGGGGGAAAAATCCCAGTCTGACCATAGATTACCAGTTTACTCCCATTAACGCCCATCCCGCCCCTCCAGCAGCCTTGCACGTGGCTCTGGACCTTGGCCAGCATCTCTGGGGAGAGGAACCAGGACCCACCTCCAGGAACTTCATGAATGCTGGCCGGGCTTCCTTGGCGATCCTGACGGCATCCTTGGCGTTGAGGAAGTTATCGATGTAGGCAGAGTAGATGTTCACCAGCACGTCCTTGGAGAACTGGGAGGGGAAAAGAGGGGGGGAAAAGGGGATAGGTCCAGCATGGACCTCCCGGGCAAGCTTGGAAGAAGCTGCCCCAAGGGTTAATCCTGGCTCTGGGCTGGCGCGGGGAGGGCTCGCCCGCCACCCGCCCCCCTCGATTTTTCAGCCCTGACATTTCTGCTCCCGAGGCAGAAACACCGAGCTGCAGACCCAGCCGGTCACCGCAACACCCCACCGTTACGCTAAGCAGACAGCAGGCCTGGAGATCGTCTCCTGTTCTCCATCTCAGGCGTGTTTGGCCCGTCCTTTAATCACTCCCCTGCCTCCTGCTCCAAAACTTCTCCTGCTGGGGCCATGCTCGAGAGTGGGCACGCCTGGGTTCCCCGGGGGAAATCCACCCCGCGAGGACCTACCGACTGCACGAGGAGGTCGCCCACTTTCTGCTTCTCGTGCCAGTTCTGCACGCAGTCGTGGATCTGCTCCAGGAACTGCTCGTGATGCTCCAGCAGCTCGGGGATCTGGTCGAAGATCTCATCCACCAGCGATGGGTCACACAGGAGCGAGTTCTCCGGCTGCTTCAGCGGCTTCATGTAACCCTGCGGGGAAGCAAAGGTATCGGGGTCCCCAGAGATTTCTTTTCCCACTCCCTTAATACGAATTTTTCAACCCCCGTAAATACGGCGATCGGTGGCATCCTGCAGCAGGGGGTTCCCCAAGTGAACGTTGGGTTGTGGAGCCCATCGGAGGGACCAGACAGCACTGAGTCCCAGCACGTTTTGCACCCCAGCCCCCCTGGGTCCCATCCCACCCAGTGCATCCCCACGGCAGAGTGGGGAGCAGGGCAGGTCTGCACGAGGAACAGCCAGCCACAGCCTTGAGAGGCTCCAAACCTTTGCTGTCATGAGCTTTGGTCATCCCCATCTGCTACAGAGCCTGACCCACCTGGGGAATCACAGCAGCACGACCCTAGGATCCAAAAGCCGGTGGGTTCCCAGTGGGATTTAGGGTATTTGGGACTAGGAAGGGCTGGAGTGAGGGGGGTGGAGGCCCCGGGTCAAGCCCTGGACCACCTCGCCGTCAGCATCTCTTGGGCAATGGCCAATGAGTGATGCTCAGGGTCAGTAGGAAAAGTGGGACAAGACCAGGTCCTCTGCAAGGCCGGGTGGGCAGCTCTGCTACGAAACCCCTTTCCTCCCACCGCGGGGTAGAGCTGCGGAGGGGAGCAGTGCCCCCAGGAATGGGAGAGCTGGATTTGCAAGGGATGCAGGATGAGGAAGGTCTTCTCAGGCCTTGCCTCCTCCTCAGTCCAACCAGTACAGGGTGCTGGTGTCCTTCAGGATCTTGGGAGAACCATGGAGGTGAGCGGCAAGGACAGGACCCACCTCAAGCTGCTTTGGACATCTCCATCCAAGCTGGCGAGGGAGGAGTCATCCCCCAAGGATGAGGTTCCTCAGGCTGACGGTGGGTATCTCGTGAAAACCCGAATTAGAAGGGCCACATCCTTCCTGAGACTCATAACCTGCCTCACCTGCCCTACTGTGGCCAACACCTCCAGTGGGGGCTGGGCTGGGCTGTGCCATGCATCCCGCCCACTATGAAACTGGGCGAGCGAGGACCAGATGCGGAAGAAGAGCATGGAGACAACCCCTGCCTTGGCACAAGAGGAGCACAGCCAGGGCTTGCCCATGCACCATCTGGCTTGGCTGGAAGATGGTGCTCCAAGGTGGTCCCTGTCCCTGGTAGCCACCATGCTACATGCCACCGGGCCACATCACAGATCCAAGCACCTTGCCCCAGCTAAGATAGGGAGCTGGGGGCATCTGGAGCCCTGTGGCCACCCCCCCAGAAAGCCAGGTCCCCCTGGTTGCACCGTGCCAGGACGTGTCCCACGGGCAAGAGCTCAGGCATTAATGCCCTGTGGCTCTCACCCACGTCCAACCAGTCCCTCCAGTGGGGAACCGGTGAGCCCCAGCATGGCTGTCCTCTCTCCAACCAGCCTCCTGTCCCACCTCAGAGGAAGACACAGCCCATGGGACAGCCTCTGTCCATGCCAAGACGAGAAGGGGCACCATCCGTCCCCAAACCGCATACAGCTTCCCCCAAAATGAGCCCCAGAGCCAGGGTCCTCTCGCCCCTCCAAGCCAACCTCTGCACTAGGAGCAGCCTTGAAGGCTCCTTCCCTCCTGCAGCAACATCTGGCAGAGCACATCTGGGTCCACCATCCTCGCAGGTGATTTATGAGGAAAGCCAGGTTGTTGGGATGATGGGTGCCCCATGCCCTCGTGGACATGCCCAGCAGATGTCCTACAGGCACCGCTTTGTATCAAGCGGAGCAGAGCTCTGTTTTTTTGGTGTTTCCACCTGCAGCGATGCAGACAACCCACACCTACGCCAGCATGACCTAGTCTCCAGGGCGTTGACCACCATTAACCTTCTGAAACACCTTCATTAACATCTGAAATGTGGGGTGGACCCTCCGGCCAGGCTGCTCCAAGGGGGTTGGAGCCAGCTCAGTAAAAAAAAGGACGGAGAAAAACCCTTGGCCCATGGCTGCAGGTGATGACGCTGAGCAGAAGATGGGGGGACATGGGAACGGGGAGTGTAAGGGGTCTCCCATCATGGGACGGCCATCAGCAACGGCCCAGGAGATGGGGTGCAACATGAGGAAGAGTTTTTGGGGGGCAAGCATGGGAAGGGGCTTGGGGACACGATATCTGCCAGGTGACAACCCACCAGGAATGTTATGGGCTTGATTTGGGGGACAGAGGTGACCCCCACACCCCATTCTTGACACTTGCCCACTGTTCCCACCTCCAGTCCTGCTGTCCCCAACATCCCCACTGCTACCCGTCCCCAGTCCGTACCCATGCCGCATCCGTGCTGGTAGAGCACCCACAGCTGGGGGTCCCACTTGGGGTCCCAGGAATGGTGACAAGCAAGGGACGGTCACGCCGTGACGTGGTTTGGGGTGCCACCTCCCCGGCCGCGCCGCATTACCTGCATCAAGGTGCGCAAGGACTCCACGTAGGACTGTTCCGTGTCCAGCAGCGTCATGATGACGTGTTTCCTCATGTCCTGCCCGGGTGGAAAGACAGACAAAGATGAGTTTTGGGGTGACACGATGGAGGGGAGCTACGTGGCGGGCGTCAGTGCCGGCACAGGGGCTCAGTGGGGAGGCTGAACACCGGAGGAGCCCGGCTGGCGTCCAGCTCCCCTCCGCTCCCTCTCCACCCCGATGGAGGAATCCGGGAGGATTAGGAAGTACATGACACCGAGCGCACAGAGACGCCTGGTTTCCTCCGCGGCCGCGTCAGGAGCCCGCCCTGGATCTCACAGCCCTACATGGGTCGGTCCCGGCGCCCTCCGTCTCTCCGGCGGCTCCGCTCGGAGCGGTCCCGTAGGAATTTGCCTCCCGCCCGGCACCCCGGACACCCCAGCGCTGGGCTGTGGCCCCGCAGCAGGGGGATTAATGGGGTGGTGGGGGGAACAGGGAGATGGTGGTGTGGGGTGGTCTGCCACTCTTGGGAAGCAGATGGGTTGGGGTCTTCTCAGTTGTGGGGTTCGGAGACCCCTCTCATGCACAGCAGCTGGAGGGACCCCCCCCCCCCCCCCCCCCCCCGCTGCCCACCAGCCGGGGGGGCCCCCCCCCCCCCCCTGCAGCTCAGCCTGGGGGCGAAATACTCCAGAGCCCAGGGTGTGAGACACCCCAAAACTTCTGGGTGCAGAGATGCTCCAAGGGCCCTGGGTGCAGAGACACCCCAAAAGTTTTGCATGTGGAGGTGCTCCAAAGGCCCTGGGTGCAGAGATGCTCCAGAGACCCTGGGGGTAGAGATACCCCAAAAGTTTTGTGTGTGGATACGCTCCAGAGACGCTGGGTGTGAGACACCCCAAAGGTTTTGAGTGCAGAAATGCTCCAAGGGCCCTGGGTCAGAGAGACCCCCAAAATTTTGCATGTGGAGGTGCTCCAGAGATACTGGGTGCAAAGATACTCCAAAAGTTTTTGGTGCAGAGGTGCTCCAAGTGTCCTGGGTGCACAGATATCCCAAAAGTTTTGCATGCGTAGGCTCTCCAGAGACCCTGGATGTGAGACACCCCAAATGTTTTGGGTGCGGAGACCCTCTGCTGGCCCTAGGAAAGGAGATGCACCAAGATTCTGGGTATGGAGACACTCCAATGGTCCTGTTCATGGAGACCATCCAAAGGCCTTGGGTGCAGAGACGCCCCAAGATTTGGGTGCAGGGACACCCAAAGGTTTTGAGGTGTTTGGATGCCTCAAAGGCCTTGGGTGCAGAGACACCTCAAACTGTGGGTGTGAAACACCCCAAAGTCCCTGGAGGCTTGGACGCCCCCAAGGCCATGGGTACAGCAATGCCCCAAAGTCTCCAGGTGTGGAAATGCTCCAGTGAAGCTGGGCACAGAGACACTCCAAGTGTCCCATTAATGGAGTCACCCCAAAGGCCATGGGTGCAGGGACACCCCGAGTGCTGTAGGTGCACGCATACCCCGAACCCTCTGTGGGCAAGGACCCTCCAAAGGCCCTGGATGCTCGGACACCCCAACAGCCCTGGGTGCAGAGATGTCCTGGCCACCACAGCATGTTGGGACCAGGTTCCTCTGCCCTGGTGCCACTATGGGGGTTGCTGGAGCCATCAAACCCCCATGTCCCCCATCTCCTTGTGGGATGAGCCTATGTCCCCCAGCCACGCGGGGCTGTGTCCCCCCGTCTTCTCCCGGCGGGGACACGAGTGCCACAAAGCCGCTCTGCAACCACAGAAGGAAGCCTTAACCCAACCATCCTCACCACAGATGGAGGCCACCATCTCCCCGGTGGTCCCCAGGGAGCAATGGAAAGGGATTCTGGCCAGATCCTGCTCGGTGCTTGAGCCGTGCCTCAGTTTCCCCACTCACCCTCCAAGCTGATATCAGCCTTTTCAGCCAAGCAAGGAAGAAACTGTCAGAACCAAATATTACGGTGACAGGTCAAAGCCCCCCCAGGAAATCTGCCCCCCAACACACGTTGATGCCGGCGTCCTCAGGGACGCTGGCTGAGACCTCCCCTCTTCGTTACACCCTGAAGTTTATTAACACTCTCACCGTCCGATTAATTTAATTATGGGCTGAAGGGCACCCGCCAGAGGATGGGCTTTAGGGGTGCAGAGCACCTGATGCCCCCACCCTGCCTCAGTTTCCCCAACCCTCGCACAGCCTGCAGTTCTCTGCCTCAATATGATGATCCTGGCATTCTCCCGAGCTGTCCCAGCTTGGGACCAAAGCCAAGGGCTGGATCGGTGAGCTGAAACAGGCTCAGCACCGCACGCCGCACCGGAGGCTGCGTTTTGCAGCAGTGGAGAGATGCAGGATGAGGCCCAGCCGTTGGCAAGGGGATTTTTTTCCACAGCTACAGCAGCGGTATTATCCCGGCGGGGGGAAATTCCTGCAGGGATGAGCAGGAGCTGGGGGTAACGGTAAGCGGTACCCAGGCATGGGCAGGATGTGCCCCACTGCATCCCTTACCCCAGCAAAGCCTCTCCCCCGCAGGGCTGATGCTGCTTTGGTCTCCATCTGCTCTCCTTGGGGACCCCCCCGCCACACCCTGGCCGCATCCTGCCTCCCCCGAGGTGCTCAGCACCCTCGGGATCAGCCCCCGCCGCGATGGGAATTGGGGCATTTCCCCACCAGCTGACGCCTCCGCGGTGTAAATCAGCCTTGGGGGGGTGCTGGCAGCGATGGCTCCAGCCCCCCCATCACCCTCTCCTGGTGGGAGCATCCCCCCCTTCCCTGCCATCCGGAGAACCCCGGGGGCGGCGGGTTGAGGATGAGGATGGAGGCGCCGTTGCCACGGCAATCGCGGTCCAGACCCCGCAGGTGCCGGGTTCTGCTGGGCGCACACGTGTCCAAACATGACGCATCCATGCACCCCCCCATATATCCCCCCCATCCCACCTTACACCCCCTCCCTCCATCCCCAGGACCCCCCTCCATCCCTTTTCGCATCACCTCGGTACCACCGCGACTGCCGCCACCCCTCTCCCGC